TATTCATTCTTACAAGGATATCTTGGCCAATCCAAGCAAAGGAGACACGGCGGAAAACTGCCCACACTACAGCAAATGCTATGCAGAAAGGAGAAACGGCAAGCGTCAAATATGATACAGCTCCCAGGAAAGGTACTTTAACAAATGACTCTGCGGCAGGTTCAAACCATCTGAAACTATATTGAACTGTTGTTAACCCATGCTTTTGAAAAACTAAATCACTCAAAGAAACCACAAAGAAAAATAGCATCATATATCTCTCTTTGTTCCAAAAGCAAAAGCATCCAAAAGAAATCGTTTATGTCAATTACAATTGAGAACATATTCAAGACACTATCAGCAGGCATCCCCTCCCAAAATAATACAAAGAACGCCCTGGAAAGAGAAAAAATAACAATGATAACAAAAAGAACATAAATTCCCTGCAATTACGAATTTGGATGTAAGAAATTGAACACGGGAATGAGTCTGCTAACAGTATTAAAGGAGATGTGATATAATTTTACTCCCTCTGATTTGTTTGTTTTTGTTATGATGGGAAAAAAAATAAGGAAAAAGAAACTTATTAGCGTTCAATCTTAATAAGTAGAAAAAGAGACAAACTGAGACCATTTCATGCGACTACTAGCATCAGGTTTTGATAAGATTTCCTAAATCAGTTTTGCAGCAATCTGGAGCTCACATAATGAGATAAGTTGAAAATCAAAGGCTTCAATAGAAAAATAGAACTGATGGATCCCTGGTTTGAAACTTGAATATTAAAATCAATAACTACATAATTATACCAAATTACCAATAGAAGAACCAATTATTTTGGGTCATTGAATCTTAGGATTATCCACTATGTTAGTAACACCTAATCTTTTTTTATTCCTCAAAAATCCTAGGCCGAAAGGAAGGAAAGCTGTCTTCAGAATAAGAAGGGAAAAAATGACCAGCAAAATATTATCCTAGACAGGAAGGGGAAAAGATGAAGAAACATTTCTCATGTTCTCCTCAATTTTCTGTAAAACGAGCATGAGAGAAATGCAGTTCCCTCTAATTTTCCCTTCCTAACTAATTGGCCTGTTTTATTTGTTCCCTCCTAGGCAACAAAAATCGTTCTCTCCATGCGACAACAGGAAAAATCGAGACAGTCATGATAACCATGATTTGAAGAAAAATAAAGAATACATACCATGATAATAGTGCCACCAAACAAGTTTGTAGACCCTGTAAGCACAAGGCAAAAGATTCAGCATTCATGGCTAAATTCTAACTGTCCTAATTCAATCCATCTCTGACCTTTTCTAACTCATACATCTTACTAGTCATGCATAACACGATTAAAAGAAAATATTTCTCTACCCATGCATTTGTCTATCTCCTTCCCCTCTCTTCTCATTATTATTTTTTTAGCAACGCTCTTCCAACTATATTTAGATGAAATATAAGGCCATAGACTTCTAATTTTCTTTCAAAAGATAATGAAAACTTTGCACTGATAAGATATTTTCTTAGAGAACTTGTGTAATGCTAAGACTGTGTACCTCTATACCACCGATGCAAAACAGAACCACCAGAACCTCAATGAACCAGTAAGACATCAATTTGTAGAGCATAACCAAGAAACAGGAAGCAATCACGACAAAGAAAACTGCTGATGTCGTGTTGATGTCCACAAAACCACTAGAGCGATAGTTTTCCTTGCTGAGGTACTCATCAGAACCATCCTGCACAGTCAACCAAAATATATCAAGTGCACGATCTGAGAAACCGATTATTGACTGTAACCAGCAGAACCTTAATCAAATAGAAAAACTATGATTATAATGAGCAACCTTTAAGAGCTTGTCCTGCTCAATAGCTGCTTCTCTTGCAGTGGATGCAGACCAATAAGATGCACATAAAATGGTACCAACAGCCATTAGCCATAGAAAAACCTCAGCTACATCCACTGCTGGTCGATGTGGAGAGTACAGCTGAACAGAAACTAAAAGAAAGGCAAGTCCTTAAGCAACAGCTCAGAGAAAGAAACCCTGTATTGACAAAAGCTGAAACACGTGTGTCTGTTCCACAGCATTAGACAATATTGTACTCTAATCAATAAATCTTATTTTCCTTCTTCCTTAATATTGCAAGTTCTATAAAGTGATATCCAATCCTTCCTATCAAGCATGCTAATAATGCCTAGATGTAGCAGCTAGAGCATCAAAATATACATCAAAAAAATAAAAAAATAGAATTATTTTTCATCTTTGACAATGTTAAACCATGCAGCGTAATCTTACCATGCGAGTTATTCTTGATACTTTGCACCAAGCTAGCACCAGCATCTTGTGGGATCATGACAGCAGGTATCTTAATGTCCACATCAGTTTCGTTGGCTTCACAAACCATCTTGAATAATTCTAAAGAATTACCCCACCACAAAGGAGGCCATGTCAGCTATAAATTACGACACAACAAATCCTTCAATATTTTCACACATTCACAATTCAGTGGTTATTCGAGCAATTGGTTCTAGACCTGGGTCCACATATAATTATCTTTAGTTGGATTGTGAATTTCCAGATTAAGAAGACAATTTTATGAGTTTTGAATAAGGATGTTCACCAATATCATGTGCAATTATGTAAATTATAATTTGTATAGTTGTACTGAGATAATCTTTATTGGCAAGAGTACATTGG